ATTTTTTTCTTTTGAAAAAAATGTTATTTAAGAGTTTGTAGTATGTGTTCATATATAATGTGTAGTTGTATATATAGAGCGACAAATACTAAATACCGTTGAAAACAATCGTTAATTAGTCGTTGTAATTTTTTTATAATTTTTTTCTTTTTATTTTTGATATTTTTTGATACATTATTATTACTATTACTATTATTATTATTATTATTATTATTATTATTATTATTATTATTATTATTATTATTATTATTATTATTATTATTATTATTAAAGCCCGCTTAGCCCGTTTAGCCCGAAACCCGCTAGGGTTAGGGTTAGGTCCTTTTATTGGTAGCCCGTTTAAATCCGGGCTTTTTAGGCCCGGACCGTTTAGCCCGAAGCCCGCTAGGGCTAGCCCGTAACCGCTAGGGCTAGCCCGTTTAACATCTCTACTAATCCCCCTTAGCCGTCGACTCTCTCTTTTTTTCTCCAATTTGCCTTCCTATCCGGCAATGAGCTTTAGCCGGCGGTCGGCCCTCGGCTGCTTGGACTCCGTGTTGCTTGTTTCGCTCCTGCTTTGTCAATCGTGATGGAGCCTTCTCTCGACCTTCCCTGGCGGGTTTCGTATTTCAGGCGTCGTTTTGTGAGCCTAGTCTTCGGAAGCTCTGGGTTGTGGTGGACGATGGTCGGGGCGCAACTCAGTGGGCGGGGCGTGGCTCGGTGGTTTGCGGCGTTCGTGTCGGGCGTTGGAGCTTCGCCGCTACTTATGGTTCTCTGGTGTTGGCCGGTGTCTCTGTTTTTCGGCCAGTGGTGTTGGACGGTGCGGAGCAGCGGCGGCGTGGAGGGTTGTCGGTGGAGTACAGACAGTATGGGGGTCAGGGCCGTGGCCACGACTTCTTTGCCTCAGTCCCTTGTATCTCTTGCGTGGAGTTTTGGGGGGCGAGCTGGTTACGGTCGAACTTTGCTAATGGTGTTAGAGAGTTTGGCCCAACGGTGGTTTTGTGGCATTTTGATTGTTGTGTTCGTGGTGAGTATGGGCTTTGGTGTTTTCCCGGGGCTTGGATTCAACTCAGTTAGGCAACCGAGTCGATTTTTGGCAGTTTCGAGGCTGGTCCTCTTTGGTTGCGAGATTCACTATGAGTCGACTTGTCTAGCTGACTCTGCTTGGTTTTGCTGACTGGGGAATGGCTTGTTTTGACGGTTGTGTGAGTTTAGTTCTTTATTTGTTTTTTTTGTTTCGTTAGGTCTCGTATTTTTGGTTTGGGCCATTGGCCTCAGTTATGATCCCTTTGGGATCGTTTTTTGTTTGGTTTTCCTGTTGGAAGTTTAATAGTTGTTTTGGTAGTTTTTGTTTATGTCTTGTTTTGAAATTCTAGCATTGCTAGTATCGGATTTAGGCGGTCTTCTGACCAGTCCTCTCAATTTATTCAGCTTTTGGTTGTGCTGTTCAGCTATAACTTGTAATTTTGCATATTTGTGCGCTTTGATATATAAAATTCTCTATCGTTTCGGGAAGAAAAAAAAAAAAGATACAATATCAACTATAAATAAATTAAAAAAAAAGAAAAAAAAGGATAGGAACGAACATCATTAATATCTTAACATATTCTTTTTATATTAATCGGTTATCAGAGTTGTTTCTTTCAAAACAAATCATATTAACTTTCATTTATCTAACCTTCCGATTTATTTACTACTAAAATTATTATACATTAATAGAGTTTTTTATACTAACAATTGTTAAACGTAAATATAGCACATGCTTTAAACACTAATCCCAATATATACAAATCATTTCAGCACACTATTGTGATATTAACTGCCGATTTAAATTAAAAAAAAAAATCTGATATATTCTAATAAGAGATACCATATGAAATGCTAAACTAAAAAAAGGACGAGTGGTACA